GTGCATTGGTGTGCGCTCGGGGTCCGAACCTGGGAAGTCCGGGCCGCCGAAGCGGAACACGTGCCCTTAACTGCTTGCGCCACCGGGCGGCCCTGGTTTATGCATGTCAAGTGCTTAGCATAGTGCCTGGTATGTGGTATATCTAAGTGCTTGTTTATTCACTAATTTGCTCATCCAGTACAGACTGAGTGCCTGCTGTGTGTCAGGCACTGTTCTCAGCACTAGAGGGCAGCAGTGAACAAGGCTAACAAGGTCTAGCCCTCCTGGGGAGAGCCGGCCTGATGGCCTAGCAGTTCAAGTTCAGCTCGCTCTGCTTTGGTGGCCTAGGTTCGGCTCCCAGGTGCAGAACCACACCACTCATCTGTCAGTAGCCATGCTGTGGCAGCGGCTCACGTAGAAGAACTAGAAGGACCTACAGCTAGAATATGGAACGATGTACTGGGGCTTTGGGGAGGGGGAAAAAAGAAAAGAGGAAGATTGGCAACAGATGTTAGCTCAGGGTGACTCTTTCCCAGCAGGAAAAACAAAAAAAGGTCCTAGCCCCCTAGAGTTTAATAGTTGAGTGGAGGGAGACAGATAATAAAGCAATAAATAAACCGTTTGTTGTTATTGCTGTTATTTTTATTATCTTCACAGTGTAGGTGGTTAATAAATTTTTATTGACCTTGTTCCTCTCATTTACTGTCTAGCAGTAGCTTAAACTTAGAGTGAGCTTAATATGTATCCAGACCCTCATCCCCTCTTTAGAGGTTACTTATCTGGCGTCCTTAAGGTTTGTTGATGGGAATACCCTGAAAGCAGGAACTGTCCTTCCTTCGTCCCTGAATCCCTAGCACCCAGCACAGTGCCTGGCACCTGGATGCTCAGGAAATGTTCATTGATTTTATTCATGTTCTCTCATTTTTGAGGCAGTAGTAACAGGCTTGGTTGGTTCCCAAGCAGAGCAGGTTGGAAACTATGAATGGGGAGGGATGGGAGAACTGGGGGTTGTTAGCGGAAGATGGCAGCAGAAATGACCTCGCTCACCTGATTACGAGAGGGAGGAAAGGCAGACTGAGAAGTAGAAGAACAGTGTTTGGCACTGGCTAACAGAGTCTTGCCCTGTAAAGCAAAGGCACCCCTGTATCATAATGTATGATGCAGCGCATGGATTGATAGAGCCATGGTGATGGTAACGCCTACCATCTCCCGGGCCCCTACCAGGTACTAGGCACTAGTTTAGATGCTTTCCTCATAAGCCCTTTGGACGCACGGTTCTGTGTTGTCAAGAAGAGATTAAATTTATGTTCAGCCTGTGGTATACAGAGTACCTTTTATATTTTCATTAAAAAAAGTTAAAATGAAAAGGGTGTCTGTTTAGGTTAACTGGAGGAAGAATGTACGTGTGGCACCCCCCTTCTGCAGATGGCAGAGAGCGAGGCACTGCCCCCTGCCTGTTTATGTCAGAACTTCGGGGACACAGCTTTGGAATCTGATTCTCCGTAGTCGCCTTCAGGAAAACCTGCCTGACTTCCTAATTCTCTCAACGTGAAACAAGTCAATCGTCTTTTCCTTTTTTGTCCTTTAAGTTCGATGGAGCGTGTCAGTATTCAACAGTTAATTGAATGTGTTGTTTGCCTTTAGGGAGCTAAAAGAATCCACTTGGGTGAAGACTTGAAGAGTATCCTTTCAGAAGCTCCAGGAAAATGTGTGCCTTATGCTGTTATTGAAGGTATGTTTATGTATTGGTAAAATGAAAAAGAACTCCCTTCTTCCAAAAGTTTGATAAAGATCTACTGGCCTGATGTTAAGGGGCTTTTGTAGCCTTGGGGCAGTGGCCCAGAACTTGGACTTCGGGGTCAGAAAGACCTGGGTTATTGCTGTGTGATCTCGGGGAAATTACCCAAGCTTTCTTAACCTCCATTGCCCCATCTCTAAAATAATTCCTACCCTACAGGGTTGTTGTAAAACTTAAATGATGTGATCCAGGTAAAGTGCTTAGCAGAGTATCTACAAAACATAACTTATGGTGATAATGCTTTCATCATTTTGATTGATTAAGCTAACTCAAACTAAAAACAAAATTTAAATTAGCTTAAAGGAAAGGTTAGAACAATTCTTCAGAAATAAAATAATTTGTTTCTATTTAGGAGCTGTTCGATCTGTTAAAGAAACGCTAAACAGCCAGTTTGTAGAAAATTGCAAGGGGGTAATTCAGCGGCTGACACTGCAGGAGCACAAGATGGTGTGGAATCGAACAACCCACCTTTGGTACGGATCCTTTTTCTGCTGGCCAACAGCCTTGCGGTTGGTCAGTTCAAATGTTGGTGTCCGGGTACTGTTTCCATGTCTTCAGCTTCTCCTGAGACAGGGCGTAGACCGGTTTCTTAATGCCGATAATATTCTTGTGTGTGGTCTGAGGACCTCTTACATCGGAATCACCCAGGCATCTTGTTCAGCTGCAGCTTTCTGGGCTCCCTTCCAGACTTACTGAACCAGAATTTCCAGGATGTTGGCCCAGAAGCTGCTGACATGCACACTAAAGTTTGAGAACCACTGATTTATGGCATGGATTATTGATTTCAGTATTTGTTAAAATAATTTTGTGCCATTACCTGGAGTACCATTTTTCCAGCTGATCCTTGTGGGGTTTTGTTTTGGATTTTTATTTTATTTTATTTTTTGTTGTAGTGAGAACACTTAACATGAGAACCACCCTTCTAAGAAATTTTTAAGTGCAGTAATACAGTATTGTTAACAATAGGCACAAAGTTGTCCAGCAGATCTCTAGAATTTATTCATCTTGTGTAACTGAAACTTTATACCCATTGAACGGCAACCCCCATTTTCCTCTCCCCCCAGCCCTCACAACCACCATTCTACTCTCTGTTTCTATGAGTTTGACTGTTTTATTTTAGGTACCTCATATAAGTGGAATCATGTAATACTTGTCCTTCTGTCACTGGCTTAGTTCAGCTAGCATAACGTCCTCCAGGTTCATCCACGTTGTTGTTGCATATGGCAGGATTTCCTTCTTCTTTAAGGCTGACTAATATTCCATTGTATGGATATGCCACATTTTCTTTATCCATTTATCCGTTGAAGGACGTTTAGATTGTTTCCACTCTTAGCTATTGTGAGTAACGCTGCAGTGAACAAAGGAGTGCAGATAGCTCTTTGAAATCCTGATTTCAGTTCTTTTGGATACATACCTAGCAGTGGGATTGCTGGATTGTTTGGTAGTTCTATTTTTAATTTTTTGAGGAATTGGATATTTGTTTTAAAGTCAAAGAGAAATAAGTGGGAGAGGTGAACTGTGATGGTATTTGTTGCCCACTGATATCGCCTGAGAACCTGAAAAATTGAGCTGCCCTATTGGGAGGTGCTTGGATAATAGTGATTTCTGTTGTACTTTTACAGTTACTTCACACTTTATCCTGTCCCCTTGGCATTTAGGAGATCTCTGTCCCTGCCTGGTGTGAGGTATTTGCTATCCTTTGTTTTATCTTGAGTTCTCTTACTGTTTTAGGAATGACTGTTCAAAGATCATTCACCAGAGGACTAACACGGTGCCCTTTGACCTGGTGCCACACGAGGACGGCGTAGATGTGGCTGTGCGAGTGCTGAAGCCCCTGGACTCGCTGGACCTGGGCCTGGAGACTGTGTACGAGAAGTTCCACCCCTCCGTCCAGTCCTTCACGGATGTCATCGGCCACTACATCAGCGGTGAGCGGCCCAAAGGCATCCAGGAGACGGAGGAGATGCTGAAGGTCGGGGCCACCATCACGGGGGTGGGTGAGCTGGTCCTGGACAACAGCTCCGTCCGCCTGCAGCCGCCCAAGCAGGGCATGCAGTACTACCTGAGCAGCCAGGACTTCGACAGCCTGCTGCAGAGGCAGGAGTCGAGCGCCAGACTCTGGAAGGTGCTGACGCTGGTGTTTGGCTTTGCCACATGTGCCGCCCTCTTCTTCATCCTCCGAAAGCAGTACCTGCAGCGGCAGGAGCGACTGCGCCTCAAGCAGCTGGAGGAGGAGTTCCGGGAGCACGAGGCGCAGCTGCTGAGCCGAGCCAAGCCCGAGGACAGGGAGAGTCTGAAGAGCGCCTGCGTCGTGTGTCTGAGCAACTTCAAGTCTTGCGTCTTCCTGGAGTGTGGGCATGTCTGTTCCTGTGCTGAGTGCTACCGCGCCTTGCCGGAGCCCAAGAAGTGCCCCATCTGCAGACAGCAGATCACCCGGGTGATTCCCTTGTACAACAGCTAACGGTCTGGACGCCCCACAGTTAGACAGGGGAGGACCCCCCTTTCAGGGATTTTTATCTCGAGGCCTTTAGAAGAGCAGTGGTGGGGCAGCTGTTCCCTCCAGGTGTGGTTGTGTGATGGAGGGAGGGAGGTGGGGAACTATCCCGATCTCACACGTCCAGCAACAGGACATTGCCTCTCCAACGTGAGAGGGGACCCTTTCCACCACAGCGTGAGAATCATAGCCCCACCCTGGGGTGGGTGTGTTGGCACGGCGTCCCTTCCCAGCAACCAGCCCAGTGTGTGTGACTGAGAACACCTCATTGCTTAAGTGCCAAAGCCAATGACCTTCAGCTCTTCTGCTTCTGTGTCTTCTGGTCCTTTCTGGTGAATTGTTGATTCCTGTGGACTTGAGCCTTGAATGACTCAGCCAGAGGGGAGGCAGAATTGGGCTCTGAGTGTGGTGTATGCCTCGCAGAGCTGCCTCTGAAGAGACTCTATCATAGTCTTTCTTCCTTTTGCTTACACCCCAGCAAAAAATTGTCAGGCTAGACATGTCACTTGTGTCCCTGTCCCCTCACCTCCTTGCCTCCTAAATGTGTACTTATGTATGTCAGGACAAAAGAAAGTGGAGTCCAGCATCTGCCTTCCACCTAAAAGGATGGAACTCTGGTCAGCAGAAGGGAGAAGGGTCACTTGAAGGGACAATTGGAATGGTGGTCATTCGGCAGTCCCCAGCAGTGGTGAAGACAGGGCAGCTTGGCTGCAGCCCTCCTGGTGTCTCCACTGACCCTGGCACGCCTCTGGCCATGATTTGGACCTCCTGAGGCCTGAGAGGGCTGAGGGGGGGGGCTCTGGTTTTCCCTGCCTGAGATGAGCTGGAAAGGCCTCACCACCCGAAGGAAGTGATAAGGATACTAAGGACGCTGCTGCCCCAGCCTCCTGGCTTTCTCAGCTTCTCGCCAAGAAACACTAGCCAGCCAGCATCCTAGCACAGAGCCTTTTCCAGGCTCCCTCCCCGTCCTTTGAAAGTTAACATCCCATGGGTGTAGTCACGTTGCCCTTCCCACATTACTGTCCCCCGCCCCCTTGAGTTTGTGGGTGAAAGAGAAGTGCGGGAGCCTCTCTCACCACCTCTGAGCAGTCCAAGGTCCTGTACACAGCTCTTTCTTGTTTCCTTTCCTGGGCTTTGACTATTCATCCCCTGCTCCTCCTTTGTGCGGGGGAGGTGGGGGTGCTCTCAGGGGCTGACACCAGCTCTATGCAGTGTCCGGTGTGGACAGCACAAATTAAACAGTTATAAGCAAGTGTTAGCCTGTTGCTTTGTCAACAAGTGTTCACTGGCTGGGCTGAGGCTTCCCTGGGGTGGAATTGAATCCCACCGTGACAGAATGAAGTGGGGACCTTGAGGTCTCTGTGTGTGTCCTCTCCTCAGAGAGGTGGCTTGGGGCTCTCCCACAGGGTGTGCAGCTTGGTGATGCTGAGGCCTGGGGAAGGAGTCTCCGGCCAGCCCGAGAGGGGCTGTCCTGGAGACGTGCCCATAGGTCACGCCTGGCCTAGGTAAGATGTCTGGTCGTGTTTGAAGAAGTCTGTCCTGACGTCCTGAACAGTGGGGCAGGGGGAGAGTGGGATGGGGTGGGGTGTTGGGGCAGCAGGGAGGAAGCGAACATTTAGTGAGTATTGTACTGTATGCTCTTCAAACTTTAATTCAAAGTCAGTGAGTCCTCACAAAACCCCTGCAGGCTCTCATGGTATCTGCATTTTACGGACGAGGAAATAAGCCCAGAGAGGGGAAGTGCATGGGACTGACGACACACTGCTAGTAAGTGGTGGGTCCGAATCTCAACTCCAGGCTGTTTGCAAATCTCCGGATCCTCTTGTTCACCAGCAGTGGGGCTGACTAGTTCCCACCGTGCTCACAGGAGCACCCCACAGGATACTTGTTCCCCAAGTCAGTGAGGAACAGGCAGAAGTTGTGGTGAGAATGCTCTTGGCAATGCTGAGTCCTGTCCAGTGAGGTGTTGAGACCCTGGTTTTACAGAGGTGCCTTGGGGGCGGGGCAGGATGAGAGGGTGGCTGATGGGCCCGACCTCTGAGTGCCTTGAGAGCTCTGCCCCTTTTCCTTGTGCCCTCATGTGTAAGAGTCCAGGTGGTAGTGGAGGATGAATGAACTGCCTGTGGGGGGATGTGTGGTAATCTCTCAGAGTTCAGCCCTTGCCGTTGATTTCATGAGCAAATCTGATCAAAGTGACTGGAAAGAAGGGAAGACAGCTTGCCCCACCCTAGCCCAACTCAAACCCCAGGCAGACTTGAACTCTCCTGTCTCGAGTGTTCCTCCAAGCTGAGCTGAGTTACCAGCCCTGGGAGACAAACAAGAGCAGTACACTGTCCCCGCCTCAGCAAGTGGCACCTGCTTGGGAACGTGGAGAGGTACGTTCCCAGATTCTGGATTTGAGGTCTAGGCTCGGTCCTGGCCTGGCTGGGATTGAGACTCACGTTCTCGCTCCCTTCTGGCGGTTCTGACCTTCCGTTTTAGGAGCCTCCTCTCCAGGAGGGCTGAATGGGGCCAAAACTGACACGTGGGGCCAAGGCTGGGAGAGGGTGTGACGGAGATGAGGAAGTAGGAAGTTGGTTCTGAGCTGGCCTTGGGATTGTGAATTTTGATTCTTTGCTACATTCACCCTTCTGCTCAGTCACTTGACTCTAAGAGCGTGAGGCAGTCATCATCTGGAATAACGGCTCCTGGTGTTGTGAAAGTCTGTGCTGGGCATTCAGTATGCATTACTGCTTGTGGTCCTACAAAGTGGGTGTTGTTACCCCACTTTACAAGTGAGGACAGTGAGGCTCGGCGGGGTTACATCTTGCCTACAGGCACATGTCATGAGCCAGGCAACTAGGCTCCTCCCAGGTATCATTTCTAAGACTTAGGGCAAACCAGCAGGGGAGGCCAGTTCACCCGTTTTAACAGCTTATGTGATTTGCTCCAGGCCACTGAGGTCTGACCTGAAGCCTACACCCTTTGCCTTTTCTCACATTGAGCCTGAGAGGCTAAGAAGGGAAGTGAGACAACCAGCACCTGAGAATCAGCAGTCACACCCTGGCCCCACAGATGGCAGGTGGGGGCTTTGAGGCTCCCCAGCTCATCCTGGTGGCGCAGGAGCTGGAAGGCAGGTCTTTGGAATGCTAATTCACTCAGAATTATGATGGAAAATTCAAAAAGCAAACAGTAATATGTGGACAAATTAAAAAGCAAACAACCACAGCATGACAAACTGGGCCAATCTGTGACACCCTTCCCAACCCTGGTCCTAGGCCGTGGAAACTCCAGTTGGGTGATGAATCTGATGCTGGTGAGCCCACAGGGCCTCTGGAATGCTCAGAGGAAGAGCCGGTTGAGTTGGTGTCATCGATGGGCAATTATTTATCTAACAAACATTTGCTACATGTGTATTCTGTGCCTACGGATGGGAAAGTGGATAAGACACAGTCCCTGCCCTCAGAGGGCTGCGTTGTCTTCTATTGTATCCTAATTGTTTGAAAAGGAATGAACCTTATCAGACAGGTGTGGCGACTCTCAGTGGTTGGGAATATTTGTGGTTTACAGAACCATTGTAGCTGGAAGGGGCCTTGGAGATTGGCCTGCAGATTCCCTGACCATTCAAAATAGATGAACCGAGGGCAGTATATGGTTGCTGAAGGGGAGCCAAGCAGAGAACACATACCCCACAGAGCCTAGAAAGATCTGTTTAAAACACCAACCTGACCAGGTCTCTCCTCTACTAAAGCCCTTTCCCGGGATCCCTGTCATCTCCAGCCTCACGCCCTGGCTCCTCCATGGCTTCTGAAGGCCTCTGTGACCCGGCCCCTGGCCACCTCGCCAAGCCTCTCTGCTTCCCCTTTGTCTCCCACTTGTGGTTCCAGCAACACTGAGCCGTTGAGGTTCCTTGAACATGCCGTGCTGTTCCCTGCCTCACAGTCTTTGCTCTTGCTGAGTCCTGCCTCTGGAAATCTGGTCCTTTCTTCACCTTGCTAACATCCACTCACCCCTGAAAACTCAGCTTTAGATGTCTCCTCCAGAAAACCTTGCCTGATTCTCCCCATCTAGGCCAGCTTAGGTGCCCCTCCTCTGAGATCCATAATCTGCCTCTTCCTGCTCTTAACCATATTGCCCAGGTCTTGGGCAGGAACTGTATCTTATTTCTTTTCCTTCTCTAGCACAAGATCTAGGTCGTCACTCCACACGAATTGGAGCTAACATTAGGGCTTGCTCTTTCCCAGGTACCTGCTAAGAGCTGTGCATGATTGATGTCATTTAATCCTCACCAGGAGGTATGTGTTTGTATTATTCTTATCCTAAAGAAAAGGAAACTGAGGGCCAGAGAGGTTGAATGTCTTGCCCAAGCACAAGAGAGAGACACGATTTAAGCCCAGGCAGTCTGACTCCAGAGCCCAGACTCTTAATCATTGAATGTCCATGGAATGAATGAGTAAACTAGCAAATGATATGGGGCCAATAATCCTGGAAGGCTGCCTGGGGGAGTTGGTTTTGGCACCAGAGATAAGGGCCATGACTTGGTTGTGAAGAGTGAGGGAAAGGCCTCTCTTAGGGCCTGGGAGCCAAGAGGGATGAATTACATAGGAGAAACATCACGTCCAGTGACCTGTCCAGAGCTCTGAGGACTCCACACAGGGAAGTCGGGGCAATGTCATCACATGGTATTAAATGGTCTGGACTGGGAGCCCCAAAGCCGGCTTTCTCTCTGGTCCTGGCTCCATTGCTGTGTGATCTTGATGGAGTGATTAACTTCTCTGGGCCTCAGTTCTGTCTATAAAAGGAGCAAGTTGGATTAGAAGCTCCGAGGCTCCATTCCGCTCTGCCATTTTGCATATCTGTGAGACAGCCAGTGGAGGAGGGACCCGGGAGGGCAGTTTTGAGGCCCTCCTCCCGGCTGCTGGTCCGAGAGATGAGACGTGGACCCTCCTCAGCCTAGCTGCCCACCACAGCTCAGGACCACCTTCTCAGAAAGCCGGGAGATCAGCACATTTTCTCTCTAATTGGATAGTGCTAGCTTATCCATTTTGAATGAGATAAGTCTCCATGTGTGATGTCCTGGATTGCTCCCTGGAGTGCTCATTAGTCACTTCCCTTGCAGCTGCCTTATTGTTTTCCAGATGCCAGCCGAGGGACCTGGCATTTCCCTTCCTCAGGAACAGGGCACATGAGGCCAAGCCGGTGACACTGACATTGGTCAGAGGGGCTGACCAGGCGGGAAGGCCTGCCTCGTGAAATGACATGGCCCTCCACTGTTGACTTTACCCTCTGTCCCTGCCAGGGCGTTGTCTCACAGTAGGCACCCCAAATCCAGATTCCTCCGGGATTGGGCCACACTCTGGAGGGCCACAGCTGAGCTCAACAAGCATTTATTAAGCACCCAGTGTGCCAGGCACCTTGTATCTGTAACCTGAATGTTCTCTAGGTGGGGGAGGGGGTACAAATGAGGTCATGTTAATATTAATGTCCAACTTGCCATCACTGCAGGCCTCCCACCCCCTCCTAGTCTTCCCTGGTTATTTAAGGTGCTTCACGGGGTGGGGCTTCATACGTCTTTGCAATACGTTGTCTCATAGTCTTCGTCTCTTCCTACCCTTCCCCACCCCGGGACCCAGGATGGGATCCCTCCTAATGCTGCAATCTCTACTCTGACCTCCAGGTGGCGCTGTGCCCCCACGGTTGAGGGCGGCTGGCGGACTTGGAGGAGAAACCGAGGTTGTGCTTCCGAAAGCCTCTGCAATTTCTCTTCCTTGAGGGGTGAGGAACAGGCCTTGGAGGCCCCAGAGCAACTCTGAGGAGGACCCTGGGCTGCTGATCCCAGGAACAGCTGGGCACAGCCCCGAAAGGGGAGAAGCAGGAATTTTCTCTCCAGTTCCTTTCTTTCTCTGCCCAACTCACCAGGAAGCTGGGTGCAGATGTGAAAGTTTTGACAAACCCAGAAAATTCAGGGGGAAAAAAATCCCACATTTCTCCCCCTATAATTTTCCAGGCATTCACATCTTTAAATATACTAACCATGATTTCTTTCAAC